CAGAGCAGCCAGGACATGAAGCAAGCCAGTACTAATTACGGAATGCCAGTGTTGCAGGTGACCGCTTCATCTGCCATGCCATAAAAATGGCCCCAACTATAATTAAAAAAAAATCAGTGTTTTTATTTTCTAGTAATTACAGCAGTAAGACAGTACCTAATTATTGCTTATCTAAGATTCCAGTTTAACTTTTTAAATCTAGTGTTAAAATCATAATTACATACAAATATAGCAAGTATTGCAAGTTTTTACTAACATGCCAATTATTTAATGCAAAGTTTTATTTTTCATTGTGTTTAAAAATAAGCTAGCTCAAAGGCATAGACAGCCATTCAAAATATAGTTTACATTATTTATTCAGTGTGAAGATTTTTTTCATAAATAGTTACAAAAACATTTTTCTGTTTTGCAAGTCAAGGACTTAAAATGTAGTTTATTCATATTTGTGAACACAATTTCTAAAAAAATGTATTTGATGGGCATTTGATAAGTGCTACCTGGCCTAAATTGTTCAACTATAAATGCGTAAAAAATCAATAAAATTTTGCTATATATAAAGCCTTTGAATTTATGTTTTATCTATGACTAGGTTGTTTAAATGCTCAGCAGTGGCAAAACTTGCAGATTTTTCATTTAGGAATCCCCAGCTGCACTACCGTATTTGCTCTGCAAGCATCTATTCAATAAGGTTTCAGGAGTGTTACATTCAGATTTAGATAAATGAATGGCTATGAGAATGGCAGCAGCAGAGAGACCTGGATAAAGACTGTTGCAAAGGTCAAACATATAATTCATTAGTCTGGTAATCTGCGGGGCATTGGAATAAATCTAAATTTAGCCCTGTGAATGTAACTTGAATTAGAGGAAAAAAATCATCTCCCTTCTTATGTTTTCCCTTTTATATTAGAAAATTACAAAGGATTACTCTAACCATCTCAAGAGAAGTCCATTATCTAGGCATCAGATATCTGATACGACTCAGAAAAAAAAAGTTCATAGGATCTCAATGGAATTGTTTATGAAATAAATATTAGAGTAAAAGAAATCTTCAACCTGCATACTGATAGACTTGATTCTATTCATTTAATCATTAAACTCTTAAATGCGGAAAACAGCATTAAAAAACAAAATAAATTAATATAGGTAGTAGCACTAAGAAGCTGAAGGCTAAGGGTTTCATACTGGAGAAAATGTAAGTGGAAATATTCTAAAATATAAAAGGAATGTAACAGTTGAAACATAATTTCACTATTGATTAGAAAAAAATTAAACAAATCATACAGCTCTCATCAAGTGTTAGCACTGTTAGTATTTGAACATACTTATAAATATATAAAGTTACATAAATTATAACTTTTATGATCAAAAACTGTTAATCCTTTTGTTCTGAAAAGATATAATCAATTATTGTGTAATATGCTAAAGATACAACACTTATTATTAAATGATGACAAATAGCAATGCTTCACTATAGGAATTTAGATATTACTTTATGAGTTTGACTAGTTTCTTTTTAAAATTAAATGGGTATTAAAACTTAATCATACTATAGCCTTTATTTTTGTCTACTTCGTGTAAATCTTAATGGTTTACATCAACATTTCAGGCTGCAGTGGGAAAAGTACCAGGGGACTGGGGAAGGCAGCCTGGCGCAGACAGGTTAGCTGTCAGCTGTCATTCACGACATCCATACCCCATACCGGAGTCCCAAGAGTCTCGGCTTGGTCCCTGTCTCTGAGCCTGTGAAGCTGCCAATGGCGGCTCAAGTACTTGAGTCCCTGCTATCCACATAGGTGCACTCAGATGGAGCTTTTGGCTGCTGGCTTTGGAATGGCCAAGCCCTAGCTGTTGTGGCCAATTGTGAACCAGCATATGGAAGATGCCCCCCCTGCACCCCTGTCACTATGCATTTCACATGATTATACACATAAATTAATAAATATACATATATATCAATAAATCTTATTAAAAAGTGCCAGGGAACTTAAACATTTGTGAAAAAATGGAATTAGAAGACAAATTTAGTCAAACAACGGACGGAAGATCTTCCTCTCTGTCTTTCCTCCTCTCTGTACATCTGACTTTCCAATCAAAACATAATATTTTTTAAAAAAGAAGACAAATTTATTTCAGTGCAAAAATGGTATTTAGAAGTCCAAGCATTTTTTTTCTATAAAACACATTTTCCACAAACTTTCTAAGGACTCTTGTAGAATGCCACATATTATCTCAAATTTAATCATCCTGTATTCTGATAGTAAAAAATCAGCTATGGCAAAGGAGATTTTAATATAAGGTTAACACTAAGAGATTGTGGGATGTTTTATTATGCATCAGAATATAATAAAAAATAAATAGCTAATATTTTGCTGATTATAATAATTACTTATATCAACCTAGAAGAACCTACTTAGTGTCAGTTAACGCAGCATTAGCCCTGTTAAGGCCATCACAAACACAGGATCAGCACTCAATGCATGCTCAAGGGGGAATCCCTCATGGTAGGAAAGCGCAGGGAAAGAATACTGAAAAATAGACAAGGGCAACCACAGGCATTTCATCTTCAACTTTTTGTTTAAAAGGGCAATTTCCTAAGAACAAAATGATTACATTAGGTTCAGCAAACTTAAGAAGATAGTACCGTACTGCCCTCAATTTCTCATTGTGGTTGAAGTCTTCTTTCTACAACGACTTATTGTGTGAATTACAAAGTCTTCAGGATATTCAGAATGAAAGTGACAGAGTTTTTCTTAGGCACACTACAGAATGGAACATCCTTCCTTACTCTTAATAGAATATGCAATTGCAGACTTCCCCAATAATTCTAGTCATCTTGACAATAGAAAAGTCACAAAGACAATACCATGATTTTACAAAGAGAAAGAATGACAGTTTCCCTTCTACTTTTCAAAACTGTTTTATAATATGACTTGACATTGGCTTTACACAATGAGGCTGGCAAGAGGAATCAATTCCTACAAAGTGATACTCCCCACGATAAAGAACACCTACACTTCAGAACAATGCATCCATCCCCACCTATTCACCACGTTATTATTATTGCCATTAGAAGCTTCTTCAGGATAATCTCTGACAAAGAAAATACAGTTTTGTTTGGAACAAACTGACAATCAAATATAAAGCAAGCAATAAAATACCAAGGCTTGACGGTTTCGTTTTTCTTCTCACTTCTGCAAGACTGGTAAAAGCCTCTGTTTAGTTCTTGTCCCCACTAAGAAGCCTGCTGTTTGGTTTATCACCATTTGTTCAACAAATACTTGTTGTGCCACCACTGTGCATTAAGTGTTTTGTTAGGTGTTGGTTATCGTAACCAACAAAACAGAGAAGGTCCATGCCCTCATGGTATAGACAGATTTAGACAATTAATTCTCTAAATAAATGAGTTATTACGAGCACAATGAAAGAACAATGATGGGTGCCAAGAACAAAAACAGGAAGACCTAATTTAGCCTGAAATTCCTCAGCTGAAGCCGGGCCCTGAAGGATGACTGCAGATTTTCTAGAGGAGTTAGAAGAGCTTTTCAGGGAGCTGGGCCTATGCAATGGCCCTGGGTTTGCATTTCCAAATGGATACAAAGCGGTGAGCTCCAGGGAGGGCAAGCATGGCATGGCAGGAAGGCCCTGGCTGAGGCTCTGGAGCATTGAGGCCAGCCCTGTCAGTCATCTGAGGGAACTCCGAAGTCTCCTGAGAGTGGTGGGAAATGAGTCAATTTAGTTGGTTTTCCAGATAAAAAGTGACTCACTTCTAAGGAAGCTTTGAGAGAGAAGTATAATTTTAAGAAATCGGTATTATTTGGCATTATGGATTCATATTTACACTCTTTTCTTGCTGCATGCTGGATACAATGTGCTTCATACCTCTCCCTTTTTCTCGGAGGGAGACTAACAAGCATGGAAACTGTAGTGGACACTGTAGAGTTTGTCGGCATCTCTGCATCTGCATAAATAAGGCTTTGTAAAGCAAAACTGTGTTTTAACAAATGTACAATGAAATAGTTCTGAGGAATGAGGAGTAATTTTTGCAGATAAGTATTCCTGGAGCTTAGCATTTACAAAGTTGAGTTCCTTATTCACAACTCCTTTTAGGCAGCTCAGAATTTTTAATAGCAAGTACCCTAGAGCTTAATGACTAGTGAAAAAACCATCATGGAGAAAGCAGAGTTGGCAGGCTGGCATCTGAACTCACGAAGACGTGAGGAGGCACACTGGCAGCAGGAGATGGAGACAAAAATCATAGCCAAGGGCTGACAGGGGGAAGCAAGTCTAAACATGGCTCTCGTGCACCGCACGGCCAGGCATGCTTTTACCAAGATCAACCCATGAATATAAGCCATGACGGAGTTAAGGACATGCCACCTCAATATATGCCAAAGTCACACAGTGATTACTTCAAGCTGAAACGATCTGTGGAACTGTAATATCACAAAGGGTAATTTGGCCTGTCTTTTCCTATACACACAGCAAGCCACAAAGGATCTCTGGGAGGGGCGTTCTTCACATACGATGGCCAGAACACAGCCTTGATCAACAAAGACTGAGAAGTGGGTGGCAAGGTCTCTGAATAAAGAAGTTACCTGTTACTTTCCAATAACTTTTCTACTCCACATATATGTTCATGACATTCCTAGAATTTACTTCCATAACCTGGACACCCATTCCTTCTTTCATTTCTTTATGAATACATTGTTTCATCCAACATAGAGTTCGCAAATGCTTGGGTCATTTCTTTGGACTTTACTCTCCTATGAAGATCTTTATTTACATGTAACATTAATAGAACTTGGGTGCTTTTCTCTTGTTAATCAGTTTTAATAGTAACTGGGCTTCTAGTTCGAATCAAGGAATCCACATAAGAATCTACAGGGGTAAAAGGATCTCTTCCCTCCACTACACTGATGATATATCTGGAGCCACAGGAAACTTACGCAAAGGGCTGTTCTTTTCCTTTTAGTTCTTGGAAGACTCTCCATGCTACTCACCTTGATCTCTTTCATGCCATGTTCTACTTCCAGCAGCTGGTGAATTTGGAGAGGGATAAAAGTCTCCTGTCGGACTTGGTTCCATATTTTCATCTATGGATATAGTTTTGGGTCTTTTGCTGTTAAAATATAACAATAGTTACATTATTGGGATTTCTGGCATACAACATTTCACTTGAGAAAATTCCTAACTACAGCAAATTCTATACACAGAAGTGACTGTACCTCAGAGTCACTCTGAAATAGTGTTAAGCATTCAGGGTATCAACAGGAATAGCAAGCATTCATAGTGGTATATACAATTTACTATACTATCTTATACTTTACCCTGGCAAGTAAATATGGTATTCATTACACTTATCCACTCGAAAACATTCCAAGGAAAATTTCAATAGTATAAAGTGAACATTTGATGTGATTTATCTACTAATATTAAAATAATGATAGGGTAGTAACTGTACCTTAATTCTTTATTACAATTGATATTGATATTAATGATGTTAACTTGCATAGCACTTGCCACTTGACAACTTAAACCTTTCATAATAATTCCAAGCTACAGTAATGGAAGATAATATAGAAGAGAACAGAGCTTTGGAAGAGGACAACCTATTATCACATCTTGACTAGACCACTTATTAGTTCTTAATGGTACGCTCCTAACTTTACTAACTCGGTTTGTCATTTATAAAATTGAAATAATAAAACCTAATTCAATGGGAGATGCCTAGGATGATTAGATCAATTACCGAAATTCTCTCAAGTGGCTGGCATTTAGAATACACTTAAAACAGTAATTAATATTAGTAACCCTGTAATTAATAATAGAAAATCTATTGTATTTCGGTGATTGTAAATGATTTTATATGTTCTCCTTTAACTTTTTTTTAAACACCAGGTTATTGATGCTTAATCATTAAGATTAAACATATATAAAAAAGACACTGCCACACTGAAACCTAATAGTAACTTCAAAAATTATATATATTTAGTAAGGAAAATATGGATCACCTCAATTACTTAAGAAAAACACAACTACTTAGAGCAGATATTAAACAGCTGCTTTTTCAGGAGAGGCCATACCACTTGATATTCTGCCTCCACATACAACCACGGAAATGAATCTTCTTTAATTAAAAATTTTCTGGTAAAAGCTAAAAAAAAAACCTTCTAAATTAATTTTTGTGTAGTGATAGTAAATATGTCACAGGATTTCAGAAATTGTATACTAAAGTCAACTCTCCCCCACCCCACCCCCTTTTTTTTTTTTTTTGCAGTTGGGAGATGCATTTGGAGATGCAGTGAATTCCCGGGAGCAAAGGAGTGGAGGGAGAGGAGCACCACGTGGGTTCCCTGCAGGGCACTGCACTGGCAGCATAAGCACGCCCGTGTCTACGCCCATCTGTAGAAGGGCTTGTGATGGACATTCGACTCACTGCCCCCAGAGAATCAACATGATAGAGAACACAGCCATTTCCAACCATGCTAAGCCATACCGAGTGAATACTGCTTCTTTAGTTACAACCTAAGGTTAGAACTTATATTTAAATAAAAGCCACCCTTTAATGTTATTTTTGCATTTGTGAGTTAACAGTAAATAGGAATACATAAAACTTCAAATGGAAGAGAAATTAGTTTCATACCAAAGTAATAAAAAATATTTTTAAAACATTTTTTATCGTGAGACATATTTGATATGCAGTGGTCAACAGAAAAGATTTATGCTGACAACTGATCCAGTAGATAAAGTAGAAGAATTATTATTCATGCTTTCAATCAGATTCATCATTCATTTATTTATTTGAAAGGCAGATTGACAAGAGGGAGAGACAGAGAGAGACAAATGTTCCATCCAAAGGTTCACTCCTCCAAGTGCCCACAGCAACCAGGATTCAGCCAAACCGAAGCCAAGCCTCAGGGATGCCACCTGGACCTCCCTCATGGGTGGTAGAAACCCAACTACTCGACTCATCATCGGCTGCCTGAAAGGCCCATTAGCAAGAAGCTGAGTCAGAAGTACACAGGAGGCAGGACTTGAACCAGGCATTATAATACAAATATTGGCATCTCAAGCAGTAGTTTCACCTGCTGCACCACAATGCTGACTATACTATCCATATTTTAAGCATTTTTAACACCTACTCATACCATGGGTAGTTATATGAACAATATGCCAAGACAATGTAATTACATGGAAATAGAGTATGACCAGAGAAGACATAAAATTAACCTGCTGGGGTGGGTGTTAGGCCTACCAGCCGAAGACACAGTGTTTCACAGTGAAGAGCCTGTGTTTGATACCCTGTGTGGTTCCTGAGTAGAGCCTCTGCTAATCGAGACCCTGGGAAGAAGCAGCAGCGACAGTTCCTGCCATCCCACGTGGGAGACTCAGGTTGAATTCCTAGCTCCCGGCTTAGTCCTGAGCCAGTGTAGGAATCTGACATCTGTGGGGTACACCAATGGATGAGATCTATCTTGCTCTCTCTGTCTCTGGCTCACACTCTCTCTCTTAGTTTGCCCCTAAAAAAGGGAAAAAAAAATCAATCCAAATGCAATTAACTTTCATTACTAAGCCTGGCTCAGGGAAATAATTTTAGCTATTCTTTTTGCTTTTAAAAAGCTGACATTATGAAATGCAGGCTTTGCTTTGGAATTTGTGATGCTTTTATATTTGATATGGGTATATTTGATATTCTGAGAATGAGATGAGTCTTGACATGCTGAAGATCTACCTCAAAAAAAAATTCATCTGCTCAACCTAAACTGAAGGTTAAACTTAGAATATCAACAGGAAAAAAATGAAAATGTCAACAGAGGACTTAGAAACAAAGAAAACTCATTGCATTCCTCCTCAACAGATACTGGTCGAAGCAAACCTCAGACCAGACAATGTATTCAATAGCTAAACGAGTCAAAAAATAACTAAATGAGCCAAAATTCACCCACTAATTACAGTGTTTGGTAAATTACGGCCAGGATAAGGACTCTAATCTTACTGTTAAGTAAATGACACATTTCAGTTTTCATATTTCACTATCCCAATTCTGGAAGTGGTATTAAGGATAACAGTTACCAGGTTGGACCAGTTATAACTGGCAACATTGTTTTTTAAATTCACCAGGAGAATTAGCTAACTCATCAAATTGTTTGTCAAACAATAGAATAAAATGTAAATTTTCATATTTCCTTCTTTCCACAAAAGAGATTTTGCGGAAAATACACTTTGGACAGCTATATTTTGCAAATATCACAACTTTAAGAATCTATAGACTACCATCAATTTTTTATTTTTCCTCTCTTACCTACCTGCCTGCCAACCTGCTTATCCACGTATCTTTGTAACACTTTAATTTGTAGCTGCGTGCAAACTGAGAGTCTGAGCAGCTCCTCGTGTAGTTACCTGCTTGGTGGAGAAGACAGCGACCTTTGAAGATTGACCCCCGAGTTCATGTCATGGTAGTATGGTTGGCTCGGGATTTCTCCAATTGGGAAGTTGACTCCAGTTCCCTGGGTTATGGGCGCTGAGGAGTAAAATGGAAAGAAACACTAAGAAAGGTAACCACACTTGTTATTATTCCATTATAACAATTAGACATTCTCCATGCTTCTGGACAATAAATGAACTCTATTTACCTTAGGACTCTAATAACACCCATTATATCCTGGAGTAGGAAATAAAACCTTTCTCATGGTACTACTGTACAAATGTAGAATATGGGGCATTTAGAAAGCAATCTTTGATTGCTGCTTCCCCTAATCCCACTCAAGAAGCTTGCATACTCACCCATTTGGTACATTTGTAACTGCCATTGTCACCCCCTGCTCTATACAGAGAGGTCTTGGAGGGATAGAGGATGTAACTCCTGTTGTTCAGTACCAAACAATGCCCTACCACTAATTGTATTCTCAAAAACCACAGACAGAAGAACTTCACAAATAAACACCTATGATTACTACTCTATAATCCTATTAACACTGATATTAGAATAGATTAGAAACCATAATTATTTTATATAAACAACTGTATTACGGCAGGTAAATATGCGAAATTTGTAAATGTTAAATAGAAGGCACGTTTTCTCCCCCCAAAGTACATAGAGTTTCATACAGGAATATGAGTGTTATTTAAAGCTATGTAATTTTAAAGGAAGTTTATACCACAAAGTTATAAGTAATTTAAAATATAGTTAAGCAGTATTATACTATAAGGCACTAAGGTGAAAAATTGACAAATCTCTTTGAATTTGCTAATGCATGATGAGCAAAAGTTTTTGTATGTTGGTAGTTTTTGCACAATGGACTATATATCTTCCAATTAAAATAAATATTTAGACATCTTGAATAAATCTACACGACAGCATGTTGTATCACAAAGAACACAGTGTTGAGAGATAAACAGTCTTTTAGTTTGAACTTCCTGTGTCACTGACAGCCTATCAGACTCAGTTTCCTAAACTATAAAATGAAAATAATAGCCTACCACATAGGAGTATATTGAAAATGAACTCAGATAAGAAGTGATAAAAGCCCAGTAATACGCTCAGTGTATAACAGAGGGCCAGACAAAACAGTTCAAAACTCTGTGGAGAAGCAAAAACAAATGACTCTGTTGCTGAAAGTTTGTTCATTCAACAAGATTCTGTCTGTGGCCCGTACTGGTAGTCACTGCAATGATACAAAATAGCTTAAAAAATTCTTTTCCTGAATAAACATATTAGGCAACATTTTTAATAAGTAAACCCCCAGGCAAAACCTACAAATACCAGGATAAGGTGGTGCAATAAAGCTGAACAAATGAATGGCATGATCATTAAACGTTTAGAACTTCAGGGGGAAAAGAATCCATTGTAGCCTTGATTTCTGCAATAATTCTGCGCAAGAAGCCACAGCCGGTACGGACTTTGGAAAATGAGTATGGTACTGAAGGGATGTCATTGAAAACAGCAGATACAGTAGGAAAGAAATACTGTCCGAAGTTGAGACCAGACAGTGGGATTCCAAAGGACAAACAGTGCTTAGGAAGGGTTTACATTTCTCCACCTGTTCTAATCAGGTGTTCAAAAACTCTCAGCAGGCAAAGCCTGTCCAGGGGCGTGGCAACAGAATCCTAACGTCCCTAAGATTCACTCTAAGAACACTTGGTTGGCTTACTCCCCGCCCCCCTCTGCTAACTGCCCGATGTTGAATACAAAATTTCAATGAAACCTCATATTTTTCAAGGAATTTTGAATACCCAGGATTTTTAATAGATATTCTAAATGTATTAAAAGCTGAGTTGATCTTTAGTATCAGTCAGCCCAAGGCTAGATTAAAATGTTTTTCAGAACAGATGATTAAGAGGCACATGTTTCACTTTAGAAAAGTCATCAAGGAATATGCAACAACTATCTTTTCCTACAAAAAAAAAATTAAATGAACCATTATATATACGAGAGGTGTCAGGTACAAACTTGTAGAGCATCTTCCTGCCGTTAGTCTATCCCATTCACATCACACACTTCAACTTCCTTTAAACAGAAAAGGTTTATATGCCATGTGTAACTATGTCTGATGGCTTGATTATTTCAAGAATTAAAAGATGGCTGTTTGTTGTGGTTTGGAGACTACAGAGATTTAAAAAAAATACAAGATAGAAAACCCCAGAGTAACCACATGCTTTAACATTTATTATCAGAACCATGCTTTATGTAACACTAGAAGTAGGTTATGGTCTAGAGAAAGTTTTAGAGGGGCTAGTGAAGAGGGTAATCTGGCATCCTTGTAACAATGGATATAATTCAAATACCTGACAGGAATGTGCAGATTATATCTTATTTAAACTATCTGTAAATTTATTAAGATCATGCAATATTTAAGCCAAAATTTGTAGTTTCTATTAAATACATTATGACACTGTAGTCAATACAATTTTCCTGGCCATAAACATGCTGGATGATATTAATTAGTAGAAAAATTATAATTTTTAAAAATTCCTTAGGAGGCCTGGCATGATAGCCTAGCGGATAAAGTCCTCACTTTGAACGTGCCAGGATCCCATATGGGGGTGTTGGTTCTAATCCCGGCAGCTCCACTTTCCATTCAGCTCCCTGCTTGTGGACTGGGAAAGCAGACAAGGACAGCCCAAAATTTTGGGACTCTGCACCCATGTGGGAGACCCAGAGGAAGCTTCTGGCTCCTGGTTTTAGGTTGGCTTAGCTCCAGCCATTGCAGTCACTTGGGGAGTGAATCATCAGATGAAAGATCTTCCTCTCTGTCTCTCCTTCTCTCTCTGTATTTTTGACTTTGCAATAAAAATAAATAAATCTTTTTTTAAAAAAGTCCATCCCTTTCACTATTAAAATAATTCCTCAGAAATTTTAATCTTTCCTATTTTATTCGCAGAAGGATTAGCCCAGGGTGGCAAGATAACTAACAATTATTTGTCTATAGATTAATAAATGGACACAGTAAAAATCTGATATGTATTCTGACATGGAATGGAAGACTAAAGGGGGGCAAAAGGTAGATTAATAATAAACACAGCCAAAATACTCAAACAGCAAGGGTACAATGGACATAATGACAAAGAGAGTGTGAGAATAGCAAGTTACCATCAGATCTTCTTGTTTAAACCCTCGGGGAGAACTTGCATCAGCCCCAAGATCAGCATTAGCACCTCTTCTCCAGAGCTGTCAAGAAGCTGAGTGTTGCAAACCATATTTACCAGCTTGCCAATGTCCCTTTAGACACTAAGGCCCAGAGAACCTCAGATTCTAAGGTTCAGAAGCCAACTCTTAATCTCTCCTATTGTTCTCCTTCTCCAAAAGCTGATCCTAAATCAACTTGGAAGATGGAGATAATATCATTCAGCAGAAAGATCACTCTCCTAAAACTGAATAGCTTCATTAGCTAAAGTCAACATGCACATTAGTAGGTCATATGGTAGGAACAGCCTAGAGGACAGAAACTGTTAACCTACTGTGAACCCTCGAAAAGTCACAACGTGTGTATCAGGGCTGTGCTGAATTTATGATCACTGAGTTTTTATCTCCTAGAGTTCAACTGTTTAAACAAGATTATAATGTGGATACACAAAAACACTTAGCATAGTAAGTTTTCAAGCATCTCAGAGACAATTATGTACCTATGGAAGAGAAAATAAATGTTTGCTGCATAAATAAATGAATGAACGAATATAGCTAATTAAAGTACTCATTGCAAATCAGCACTATCGGGTGTTACAGATAACCTAAAAAATATCTGAGAGATGACAGTATTAATGGAGAATGGAAGAGATATAAATTTTTTCCTGTTTCTGAATTGATTTAGAAAGGTATTCCTGATCTACTCTACAATGTCCAGAATTCATATTTTTCCAAATATCACTCAGGATTTCTGAAGGTTCTAGGGTGGTTCTCCTTTGACAGCACTTAGCATAATGAGGTACTACACAAATATTTTTTGACAGATGACTCCACTGCTCTTCTCATAAGAAAGATGAAACTTTATCATGGAACTCAGAGAAATATAAACTTAAGCAAATAATTTGATAAGCCTACTAACTGCAGCAGCACAGCTTTTCTGCAAAGAGCAATATTGTCTCTCTCTCTCTCTCACACACACACACACACACACACACACACTCAAATATTCTTTTCTTCCTATACATGTTATAGTCTGGTCATGAACATAATCCAGCATATTTCTTCCCAAATTACAACTGAAAACCTTAAAATCTTTCCAATGTCACAGACCTCTAACCATCAAAAAGTGATCTGGCAATATACATAAGGCTCACTCTGTTGGACTACATAGAGTGCTGGAATCTATCTTCCCAGCAAATCCATACCCTGCATCTACTAAGAACTTCAAAATTGTTTTTCATTTATACTTTATTTTAATATCTTATACTGCCCCAAACAGAAAGACCATGACAGAGATGCTTGGCCATACATTTAGGAAACCCAGAATTATATCACAAAGAATGTCACTTGAGGTCTTAAATGCTCACGTATGCTCCTCCCTAATACACACTCTATTTGTAATGGACCACTACAAAAATATGAGTTATTTCACCATCTTGGAAATTCATTGATGACACTAAAGCCTCTGTTAACTCCTCTCCCTTGCTAACTCATTCTCTTTCTTCTTGAACCATCAGGATTCTCATTCATGACCTCTTTATTTGACCCATGAGAAAAAAATGAAGCTCAGAGTGCCACCAGATTACCTGAATAACATCACTCCACAGTGTGAATGTCTCATGTCAAAATGTGAGTTGAAAACCTATTGTTCACAGTGGCACAAACAAGCAAAGGCTGGGAAGAAACGGGGAAGGATCACCACCTCCAACATTATCCGTGCATTAAGACCTGCGTCTTTGACATATCTGTGCATGTTCAAAATAAGTGAGAGAGTTAATCCAGAAACTTTCCCCTTGCCTAGGGAGCTAGCCAGGTGAGCTTACCCTTGAAAAATCTGGCCCTGCCTGCCAAGAGTGGTGTCTCAGGTGAGGTGGCAAGCTAAAACAATAGGACATTGTTTTGGATAACAATGCTTTCTATCTATATCCAACAACAATCTGCAAAGTTAATTTCTACACCCCTCAACACTCTGCACACTAGTGTGTACATCCTGTGCATCTCCAGCCCCCACCAAAACATTAGTAAAAAGAAAAAGCACTTATCTACAGGAAACTTATGTGGGTTATCATAACAACATTGAGTACATTTAATTAATCACACTTCCTTTGATATAGATGACCATCTATGGTCACAGAGAACAGTGAATTAAATGAATAGTGTAAACATAGCAATCAGAACAATCACATAATTATTAAGATTTTTGAAAATCAGACAAAATATATCATTTAAGATTTGATCAAAGAACTGAAGTTTTTAAAAAGCTAAAAGCAAACATATGTGGCTCCTTTACATTTAAAGGTCAAAATATAAAATGTAATAAGCCATACAATATACTTAAATAAAAAGAACATGATTTACTCACTTCTGGATACCCTCACAAGTTCTGATACATTGAAGACTCCAGACTTCACAAAACTATCCTCAAGGTATCCTGAAAATAAACACCAAGGGGAGAAAGATCAACATAAGCAGGAAGCAAAATAAATTATTAAACACCAGTATTTGTTTCAGTGTTTCTAAACCAAAGGTTAGAGCAAAAACAAGTATGCTGACAACAGGGACAAGTAAGTATCTCATGAATGCAAACTGGATCCATTTAAATGTAAGCAAAAGGCTTAGATGTTAAAAACCTCATGGAATTTTTTTAATCTTAACTTTTTCAATATACAGAACAACTGGTATGGTTGTATTTGACATAGTCCACATGTAAAGAATAAAGTTCAAGGGCAGTTGGTGAAGACCTCTAACTTAGTAGCACCTGCGGGAGAGAGAGAGAGAGAGAGAGAGAGGAAGGAAGGAAGGAAGGAAGGAAGGAAGGAAGGAAGGAAGGAAGAAAAAGAAAGCAAAAACACGACCACAATTCACACCTTGTTGGAAATACTTCAAAGATTTCTTGAAACCACTTTTCTTTCACAAATCCTTCGTTGATTAAAATAACTGTGCTGCTGTTACCAGCACTGCCGCCCTTTTCCCAGATATTTTACATCAATGTGTTTCTGTGCACCTCTCCTACACCTCACATGATTTCTGTGCCTTCTTCACTCTTGGTCTTATTCCCCTGGACTTCCTTTATTTCAAGAACTGGCCAACCTTTGCAGCAAGTGTTGAAGGGTCCGGGCCTCCAAAATACAAGAACAGCACCACAGGACCTTTTTGCAACATGTACACACAGGGGCCACAGTAGCATGGTCCTCTATTCAAGAGCCTGGGAATCTTCAGACATGTTTGGCAGACAAGGATTCCCACAGACCACAATAATGCAATAATGGCCGCCTGCCCTGGTTCTCAGTTATACCAAGGCGGTGCAATGTGGCAAGGCAGGGAGTGAGGAAGAAGCCTTTGGTAAGAAGTGAGTAGAGACTGAAAATCTCCAGGATTGAAATTCTTCATACTCTGCTCTCCAAACACTTGCTGCTAGGCTGGATTTGACACGACCAGCCAAGGATGACAGGACAGCGATGGAAGGCATGGGTGGTTTGGCAACATGGAGTCCACAGGTCAGGGAAATGAAATTTGTATCACAGCCACATTGCTAGTTATTGAACACTGGCCATTAGACATCTTTTTGTTTCAAATTCCTCATCTGTAAATTAGAGATATGAGACCTCACAGACTTATTAGAGTATGAAATGTGATAAAACTATCAAGCTCATGGTAAGCACTGGCTAAATGTTACGAATCAGTTCCTTGCCAGTCAGCCACTGAATTGTGCCCACAGGACTGCAGATGGTTCCAAACTATAAAGAAAATTCACCAGAACAAATGTCAATACATGGTTTTCCAACCACACTAGCAAGAAAAGACAGACACTCATTTAACTGGCACATATACACCCCTGCTGTGACCTGAGAAGCCAGGAATGCTTGAATCCTATTCTGTAACTATCTATTTGCCTTCTTCAGAAAACAGGACAAAGGAAAGTGTAACAAGGAGTTTACAAGTTCTTTGCTGATGACACAATTTAGGCCTCATATTAAGTCACTGTTCTGAAAAAAAAAAATTACACTTTAGGAGAAAAAAATAACAAAATGTCCCCCTTTGATACACTTCTGTTTTAGGAAAGTCTTCTTGAGCAACTGAGTTTTCATCAGATTGAAGTCATTTCAGCGGTAATTGAGAAATTTCTATGTAAGCAGGCACTGTACAAAGTACTAAAGGTCATGGGTAGAATAAAGGTCTCTGACTCCCTTTGCCCATTGGAGGGGGAAGCAAGATGTTTTTAAGTTTCTGCACTCCTGTTAATATTGTATACAAAGATGTCTGTTGCTTTCATTGTTTTAAAGAATAGTTTGCTATACTTATATGTGGTAAATGTAGTAAAGAAGAAAGGTTAAAAATAAAAACTCCAGCTCTTATGTTCAATCAGACAAGATTATTGCCACCCAGTTGCACTTACTCCACTGACTGTACTAAGGTCAGAAGCCGCTCTGATGAGATGGCCCTTTTGTACCCTCAACCCTCACCCTGCCATGCCCAGCACCACCAGCACCCACTCCATAAATGGCTTTCCCATCTCATCTCACCTCCACCCCCAGCCCGGCCAGAAATAATCTTTCCTCTGTACTCATACAGCACCTCATTTGTACTTATTTTACACGTTGAATGTTCAGATTTTCCAGGGTATCGGTTTTCAGGACTTGAATTCCCTGCTGGATTATCAGCTCCTTTATTTAGCAGAGTGACTAGGTTTGGTTCATCTCTGTATCTTCCTTAATGACTAACTCATTGCCAAATATAGAGTGATTACTACACAGACACAGAACAAAATTTAAAATTTCACACCTAAAATAGGCTACAAATGGACAGCTTACCTATTTGATAACACTGCAGACACAGATGTTTAAGACCGATACGTAACTACACTGATTTCAGTCACTGCCCAGAACTTCCTCACTGAGGGATTTACTTGGACTCTTAGGTAAAATGAAAGAGAGCAGTGACTTGGGTCAGCTTTCATCCATGACTACTGTGTGCTGATATGTTACTCGGCATTTAGAACACAATAGGAACAGAGTGCTTAAAAGAGCAGAAGCTCCAAAAATACTTGTAAAATAAACTGAATGAGTGAATGAATAATGGTGAACATCTTGATATATTTACGTAAATTATATCACAAAGGAATACATGGCAATATCTCAGTATGCGGAAAGAAACTGAAATTCATTTCCTTGTTATTCCAATGAGTAGCCAGAAGTCCATCTGCTTGTAGGCCATGCCTACTAAAATGGAGCAGTGCATGGGACCGTAGGGAGCCAAAGCATGAGGGAGAGAGAAGCGGGTAGAGGCTAATTCTTCCAGTGGGAGGACAGATAGACAAATTCAACAGTGACCTTACAGAAAAGGGAAGCTGATTCCTTACACTAGAAGAAATAAAAGTAATTCCCTTAAAGCTAGGAAAAGCAGTGAGAATATATCAGAAATGCCTGGAATCCACTGGACAAAAAAACAACACAGGTCCTGATGGGACACACTCTTGCCACAAACACAGTGAGAATTCAGAAGAGAGGCCTCCTGGGGACAGGGGTAGTGCTGCTGACAATGACCCTGGGTGGAGGTGGGAGCTGGGAATCAGGCACAAGCCCAGCATGAGAGAAGCACCTGAGCCAGACAGCTGCCATGTTTATGTGTCTTTGCACACAGCACAACTTTTACAAGGGACAAGTGTCACTCAAGACACAGCATCTTAAAGAAACCACACTAGACTGCTGAGAACTTTCCTGGCTAACAGTGCTTACTCCTAAACAGAGGGGAGAGGATATTGGAGATTTTCAGAAAAATAACTGGGGAAGGGTTTCCCAATGGTTGGTAGCTATGCAATAAATACTATACAAGGTAAGCCTCAACAAAACCTAGATTACTGAGGTTAACCGAGTCCCATGCAGGCTCCTGGGGGACTTCTGGAACAATAGTTATCACATGTCACACCGACAAACTATTGTAAATCCCAACAGCTGATACAAAGACCAATGATTTTTTTTTTAAGATTTATTTTTATTGTATTTTCATTGGAAAGGCGGATATACAGAGAGGAGAGACAGAGAGGAAGATCTTCCGTCCGATGATTCACTCCCCAAGTGAGCGCAACGGGCCGATACTATGCTGATCCGAAGCCAGGAGCCTCTTCCGGGTCTCCCACGCGGGTGCAGGTTCCCAAAGCTTTGGGCCGTCCTTGACTGCTTTCCCAGGCCACAGGCAGGGAGCTGGAAGGGAAGTGGGGCTGCTGGGATTAGAACCGGCGTCCATATGGGATCCCGGGCGTGCAAGGCGAGGACCTTTAACCACTTGCGCCACCGCGCTGGGCCCAGACCAATGATTTTTAAAGCAATTTGGAGACATTCATATAGTAAATCCCCTTTGTCTACCAAAGGAAAGGCAAGGCAGAGCAGCTGCTTAATGGTTACAGAGCAATATTCCACAACAGATTAAGCCAGGAAGAAAAGAACAACTCCACACGGATGTGATGCTGTATTTACACTACATCTATGCTTCTTAAAAAATAAACTGAATAGGAAATAAAGACTTCCACAAACTGAAGTCTCAAAGGCAATATCAAATTACATTATTTTACTTCTTTTTTATTTTTCTCTAACAAAAGCAAGAGTAAATCTCTACTCACAAGTTAATACAGTGTTTAACCTCCTTTACAAACAATAACAGAAGAACACAATGGCATATCTGTTAATATCTCAAATTATAATCAGGACCATTTGAATGTTAAACAACATTTGCATGGAAAAGCCAAAAGGAAGACTGATAATGCTCATTTTTATGGTCTACTGTGTACTATTCTTGAAATTAAAAAACGCCATGAAAAGCAGTTATTAAATTCATGAAAGCTGTCTTCAAGTATTTGAAGGACTGATAACACAGACAGTAAATTAGACTTCTGCATAGGCTCAGAAGCTGGGTTTTTTTTTTTTGCTCAATAAATAGATCTGTCATCCAATGAGAAAGGTCCTAAGACGGGATGCGAAATTTTGCCTTGGTAATGATAGCCAACATGTGCCAAGACACTGTGCTAAAACTGAGTAAGCACAAATTCACTTATTTCTCACAGTATTACTCTGAGATAGAACATATTATTGCCACCATTTTACAGATAAGGAAACATGGATCCATGAGGTAAGGAATTTCCAACAGCTGTAAAGAGTTCTCACTTTGGGTAGAAAACTGGACAAATTACTTCCAAAACCCATGGTAGCCTTCATAACCTTCTTTCTGACATGGCTGTGATCCCATGTTCATTTTCTTGCACTGTTCATTTGGAGGATAAAAACAGAACGACTTGAGAGACCACATGGACATTTTCTAATTATTTATAGTATTCAATTGAGTATAAAAAGGGGCTTTACTTTTTTGATGATGGTTGCAAAAGGTGAAAGAGATGATTTCACACCAGCTCCATGCCAGTCTCCATGCAGCTGCAGATAT